TTCGCGGACGACAGCAGGCCCGCCCCACGCTCTTTTCCGACAGCTCTAACCACCTAACCCCCCTACCGCCCCCGGACAGACCCTGCGCCGCTTCACCGACAGCACCCCCCCGGGCTTACGGACTCACCGTGAATCAACGCCGCCCGCCGTCTGCAGGCGCCGTCACGCCGTCCACTCTCCAGGCCGACGGTCCGCGTCATCCCATCCGCGTGAGTATCACTCGGGGTGCCGCTCTCTGCCGCTCCAGGCAAATGCCTTGTTTGCCTCGCGGCAGATACGCCCCTGCATGATAGCAGACTTCTGCCCAAAGGTAAGGCTGTACAGAGCAAGGGTTAGTCTCTGTACAGAGTGTACATAAGAAAGATAAAGATACACTACAATTAACATGGTTATTAGGCTAAAGGGGAATAGTTTGCATAAATATACTAATCAGAAACATTATCATGCATATTTGAAGCTGACATCTGGGATAAAATACCTGTCTAAATACAATTCATGTGTAATGTGTATTCTTAAGTATTAGTGTGATTTGTGTATTTCTTCCAGATATATGCAATAATGTAGCTTGAAACGTTGCCTCTGTGTAGGAGCTTCCTGTGTCACAGACCAGTCATTGCTGCTCCTTGACTTGTGCAGAGTGACTGGTCTTGTATCCACCTCCTTCCTTTAGTTCTCTGCAGGCAGCCTGTAGTAGGTGGAGCCTGCTGGGCTCTGCTCTCTGCACAGGCTGTGTATAGCACAGTGATGATGTCACTGCTACTTTTGGGTAGTGTTTTATGTAATAACAATGTTTGTAAAAGCATTTGGTGCACACAAATGGGATTTAGAACCTTTGTGCCTATTAAGGAATATATTACATTATGTTGAAAGCGGAATAAGATGGTGGAGGGGTGGAGACTTGATGAGTTACCCTGCAGAAGGAGAGAGAGCAGCACTAACTGGTCTATATTACAGGAAGGTCCTGCACAGAGGCAAGGTTTCACACTGGATTACTGCACAAATCTGGACAAAATACACAAAGCGCGCTAAGATTCAAGTAAGAATGCTCTTACACTCTCTTGAAATTCATCTTTAAAAACGATTTTGTGAGTACTGGATAGATGGAATAGATTGCGTTTGTATATGGTTTCTGATCTACATTTTAACACCATCTATTACAGAACTAAATCACACCATCAACATTCCATTAAGAAGCTTTACAAACATGTTCACCATTGATTTTATTTTTACCCTGTTAGTATTTTTTTTTTAATTTTGTTGCAAAGTTGTTTTAATACTCAGATACATTTATCATTTTTGTCAGTAAAAGACAAAGGAAAAATATAATAGCTGTGTACATGATAAATAGAATATGGCAATAAACGCTAAACATTTTTCTCAATATATCATTTAATATCTCTGTATGGGGGTCTCTCAACATCTGTGAGCAGTTGTCATGAAATCGGGAGAGGGCAGTGGAGGAGGCTGTCAAAGGGAATAAGAGGAACGTAGCGAAGCGTCCTGCCTTCTCCATGGGAGAGATAATCCTTTCATCCTGGAGAAAAAAAAGACAGTGATTAAGAGACTATAACAATTCAGAATGTAAGATCATCATCTCAGAAGTAGTGACCTGTATACACTGAGTGGCCAGTTTATTATGACCACCTGATGTTTGTAGGCAAATTAGCTATAATTAGCTATAATTTTGCGCTGAAGTTGCTAGAGGGCCACACCATTATAAATAGGGAAGCAGGTTGTTTACCACGACAGTAGAAGTGATTTTTTTCTGAAGATATGGGTAAACAACGCGATTTAACAGCCTGTGAGCGTGGGATGATTGTTGGCGCTCTGAGCCATGGAGCGAGTATCAGCAAAACAGCAGAATTCGTTAAATGTTCAAGAGCAGCTGTTGTTAAAGTGTTTAAAGACTGGACTGCCAGCCGAAAATCTGGGTCTGAACGTGCGAATTGTGGCCGTCAGTGACTAGTCAATGTTAGGGCAGAACGGAGAGTGGCAAGACTGGTACAAGACAACAGAAGGGCAACAGTGCAGTGTCAGATTCCTCGCATCACCTTTCAACATCTCGTGGAGTCACGAGGCGGCCCAACGAAGTAATCTCGTGGAGTCATCTCGTGGCCCAACGAAGTACTGATGGGGTGGTCATAATAATCTGGCCACTCAGTGTATAAGCATGGTTTAACCCTTTTGCTGCCAATGCCTTTTTTTGCACACATTATAATCCTCATTTTAGGCCTGACAATTACTTAAAACCCCCAAACATGATATATTTTCTGAAAGCAAAGTAAAATAAATGGTGGCAGTTGTAAATTTTTAGGTCGGACGATATTAGCACAACTCTTTATCAAACCCAAAAACTTAAGTTAATTTTAGTGCTCAAAACACAATATAATACATATATTCTTGTAAAATATGAGGCTACGACGAGTAAAGATACCCAACATGCCCAGGTTAAAAATTGTGTGCGTCTGTGAAATGGCGACAAAATATGTTACCCCAAATTGTCCATAGGCGACACTTTAAAAGCCCCTACAGGTCATCAGTTTAGAGATATCCATGAATATTGTCCCTAGAATTATTGCTCTCACACTGGTGCACACGGCGATGCCCAACATGTGTAGCGCGATCGCCTTTTTCGTACATAGGCGTACCCGTGCCTGTTTACATTAACACGTGCACGCTTGGGAGACTTTACATTTTTTTTAACATTTAATTATTTAATCTTATTTTTTGTAACTTTTATTTTTAATTGCTATCTTGTAGGGTGGCTTACAAGCCCCCTATGTGATAGCGTACTATGGCCAGCGCCCAGCGGTGAGGGGGAGAGAAGCCGCCCCCAGGACGAGCTGTGTCGGCCGCACGGCGCCCTTGTTGCCATGGCGCCCTGTGCACCCCTAAGGCCGGCCCTGACTAGTGGTGACAGATACTCTTTAATGTGACACTTTAAGGTGACACTAGGAGTCTAGTAGACCCCTAGTGTCACCTTTCCACTCCAAAAAAGTGGAAGTTTTCTGTGCTCGTGGCATTTTTAGGCTCCACCTCCAGGCCAGCACTGCCCACAGCCATGTGGATTCCCTACCAGCAGCTAAAAAGCAGGAACATGGAAAAGCAGTCAACCACCTGCCTTAACACCTATAATGCTCTCATGCTGGCCACCAATGTAACTGAGGGGTACGCAGATTTTACCGTTTATAAAAAATTACTGATTTGCTCAGGGTCATGAGGGCAATCTTCCTCCTACTGACCACCAAAACTAAAGCAGACACTGACATCAGGCATTCATCCTCCCACTGATCACCAACCCCAGGGATTTTTTCCAGTGCATCGTTCTCCCCACTGGACACTTGTTCGTCTCAGGAACCACTAATTTTTCCTCCCACTGACCACTACTGCTGAGGGGTTCTTTCTTCCACTGATGCCAGGGTATATTTTCCTTTCTTAATCCTGACTGCTGCATTCCATTGTGCATCTCCCTCTGGGAGTATTGTTTGTGGCTGTCAGTCTTGCAATGTCTCATGGGATTTGTAGTTGCACCACGGCTGGAGGGCCGCAGTTTGCCTACCCCTGCTCGATATACTGTTCAGATTGTTAACCAGACCTGACCTCTATATGTTATGTTGTGTGTTACAAAGTTACGACGAAAATGTTTATTTTCCCAACAGGTGGTGTTGAAGGCCCCTCCATTGTTCAAGGATTACAGTTTGATGTAGATAGCCTCCTTCATGCTTTTTGCAAACCAGTTGTTCTTTGTCCAAAATGTGCACCTCACAGTCCTCGAAAGGATGTCCATTTTCCCTAAGTTGTTAGAAATCTGCTGAGTCTTGACAGTACTAAAGTGGATAAGCTAAAAACATCTTCAACATTACAGAACAAGTGTAGTTAAATGTGACTACCACTAGCTATACCATGACCTAGATAAATGAGAACCTTCACAGACATACATGTTCTATTTATCGATTTATAGAGATTTATAGAGTTTCTGTTGCAGAGGATGCTGATTTATTACTGGAATCAGTGTGACGGCTTACCTTTCATGCTATTTTCTTCTGGGCCCTTTTTTAAGATTAGGTCTCAAAGCTTCAGCCCGTCCTTGCTTAAGGCCCTGGAAAACAAATGATAACTACGTTCTGAACAGCAAGGCATACACATGAAAGGATTAGCGTTATTTGTGGGGTCAATGTTAGCTTTTATCGTTACTAAGCACATACTGTAGTTTTCACAATATTTGGCTCAAATAAATGGTGAGTCTAATGCTCCCAAAACACGTTACAAATAAGTAACAGTGTTAAATGAATGATCTATCTTTTGGTTAAGTCTAGGGAAAGCAGTGAGCCTCTCAATCAAATCTGCACCGTCATACACTCTTAAATTACTGCCTTCGTTGCTACTTAATATTTTGAATTGGTCCTGCTCTTCTCAAGTGCAATATGCGGCTTTTCTCCAAGACAGGTGTTAAGACTATTACCTTTAACGTGGCACTAAATCTTCCTATTGTCCTATCCATCAAGAATGGTGCCATCTTGGCCTCTATTTAGTTGCCATAGTGCTGCACATGTGATCAGTTATGACAACAGCTATTTGAGGGCTTAATAACATCTATTGAAGATTTCTAACTTCATCTTTCTTTTGGAAAACAGTTTAATCAGTGGGTTTACTTCCACTTTAAGGGCTCATTCAAATCATATGCCTTGTTATTCATATTGCTGACATGTTCCAACATTCCATTGTTTTTTCAACACCCCATTGCTTAGAATCTGTTCCCTCCTACGAGCTGCATTACAGTATGTTCTGCATTACAGTCCTGCGTGTTGCACTTCAGGTGCATTGACCTGCAGCTTGCCCTTCAAGTCATTTTAAATAGAAAAAAGGTAAATTGAGTACCCATTTTTTACTTTTTTAGCTTTTTTGTCTGACTATAGATATATGTTTGTCCCAAGCATTTTAAAAATGTACTTACTGTTGACTGATTCACTACCTCTGCTGGAAGTCTGTTCCAAATTTTAAGAGAACTATGGGGTAAACTTTTTATCCCATAGTTCTCTTAAGGGTCACGGGAGGACATATACTAGCGTCCATACGTGACCAAAAGCTCAGTATATAAGCTACAAGCTACAGCTCGCCATATGCTGAGAGCACCGCAGCCGGGACAGATCCCGACCATACTGTCCAGATCTACATCTTGGGTGAAGATGTTGATAAATAGGACCTTAAGGGGCATATGTACAAAGCACTACTACTAAAGCAGGTACTGTGACAATCACCAAATATTCACTATAGGTGAATCTTAATGGAGCATGTGTTTTAATTACAGGTAATAATTTACCACCTGTGAATGTCACATTTACTGCTTTATAAATATGCCCCTTAGCCTTCTTAGTATTTATATTTTTACTTTGTTTGTTCCTACTGTTGCTTTAAAATTTGTATTTAATTTTTTTTCGATGTCTAGTCTTTTTCATTCTGTAAAAAAAAAAATTAAAACAATAAGGCTAATAAGGGGCCTTTTTTGCACAAAAACTGCTCCAGGATATTTGAAAGGTGCTTTTATAGCCCTCAGGAGCCATTTAAAGCCGATTGCACCTTAAAGCCTACCAAAACATAACTAAATGTCACCATCCCCATTGACTCCAATGCATCTGAGCTACATTTTTCTAAAATATCCTGATTTTCACCAAAATGTTGGAGAAAGGATCAACCAGGTGAATCAGAAAATTAGAAAATTGCTTTTTTTATTTTTATTTTCCTACTATATCTTAATGGTCTGGATTTTTGAATAGCAAGGTTGTATATGCATCAGTCTGAGCTTAGAAAAATTAGGGCAGGCAAACAATTTGTGATACACCTATTCTCCCGATTCTGTTTAATAATACAGCTGCTCATTCGTCATTGAACAAAAAGGGAGGAAAGGAAGCGCCACGACCAGGGGAAATGGGAAGTGTTCGGTTAAGGAAACCTCATATATTTTGGGAGTGATCAAGCCCCACTGCACACACCATACAGGCCGGCAGCTCCTGTTCACCTGTGGACAAGGACGTTCTCCCTCTGCACCTCAGCTCCCCATTTTTTGATCATCCTCCTCTCAAGTCTACACAAGGGACAAGCTTCTCTCAAGCCCAGCACAACTCATCTGTCTACAGAGGTCTTCAGGATCTTCACCATCACAACCGCGATGACATTGCATCTACCCTTACTTAACGGTGAGTCTCTACACGCCACACCTTGCATCTATTGAGTGTGATTTCTCACCTCTCCATTATTCTCCACTTGTGTTCCAGCTGACCCCCCACCACCTAAACCAGGAAAGACCACACCCGATCGCTTCCACATCACCGCCAAGCCTGCCGGATCACTCCCACAATATATGAGGTTTCCTTAACCAAACACTTACCATTTCTTCCCCTGGTCGTGGCGCTTCCTTTCCTCCCTTTTTGTTTCATGTATACACAGGTCGGACACCCCGGTCCGTACCACTAGGAAGCTGCACACCGCCCCCACACCCTGCCCACACATAGATTCGTACGTGTGTGAACACCCACCTCAGAGCGCTGGAGTTCGGGACAGTCCCAACAATTTTTCGCTCATTTGTCATTGCTTTTTTCCACGACAAAATTGAATAACCATTGAACAATGGTTTCAACTGTAATATTTGTCAGACATTTTTTTTCCAAGACTGGCCAGCAGAGGTCTCTACTGATTGCAAGTACTAAAACTAAGCATGAAACTCAAACTGTCAGATTTTAATTTACAGCACACGGACATAATGAAAAAAGCAGTTAAAATGTGGAATTATTGATAACCAATAAACAAATAATCTTATTTTACCTACATGAAATATACTGAAATGTTCATTGCCCTTATAATAAAACTAACTTTTTTAAATTAAGTATTATATATTTGAGAACATGGGAAACTCACTCAAACTAACCTTAGTAAGATACCATAATGAAAATGAATAAACATTATTTTAATATTATCATTACATAATAAATAATTAGGCTGCATATTCTCCTATCTCTTCTTCAATGTGAGAGTAAGATCAGAGACTGTTGTGAAGTACACATACAGTTCATGGAAGGAGAGTCCTATATGATGGTAGACTAGTCATAAACGTACAAGGATGAGTTTATCCAAAACTGACGTTTTAGTTACAGGTTTCTCCTATCTCTTCTTCAATCACTCAGTACCTCCAGTACCTGTACTGCTGGAATAATGACCTATATAGACCCTGCCACAGGTTCTCACTGTTCCTTATGTTCTTTCCTCTCTATTTTAATTCAAATTGGGTAAGTACTCAAGGCGCAGAAATCTTGCTGGTGTTCACTAAGAAGCCAGGAAGAGATTCAAAGTGTGAGCATCTACACGAAAGTGAAATATCAGTTGTGGTTGACTGGCCAGTTAAGTGGACCTCAACTGATATGCTATGTTATATAGGAATAATCAAGAAATGTTAATTGTGCCTGAGCAGCACCCTGAAAAATGTACCTTTGGTCTTGAATTTCTTCTGAAAATTAACAGTGCTTTTTTTGGTATGCGAGTGTTCCTAGGCACGTCTGTGGCTACAGTCTCATAGCTATATATCTGCAGTGTGAGATGGCCACCTCCTCACAGAGACACAGTCCAAAACATAGCATGGTAAGTCAACGATCGGCTGCAGGGAGACGACAGGTAACAGTGGTGACTAGTCCCTTGGCCTCTGGATGCCTTTTTTGGGTACAGCTTCCCAAGTTCAGTTAATAGGCAAAGCAATTAGTTCGAGGACATGGTCATTACCTATTTTTCCACCACCAGAATGTCTAAGAAACACCCTAGAGGAACACATGACACCCACCTGCATCCCCAAAAGCCAGTGCTCAAAGCCTGATCATTCACCAGGAATGAGCGCTGTCACATGGGGAAGAAGGAAATAACCCCATGTACTTGCTCAGCAAATTAAAGCTTACAGAGGAACCCTGGGTGGTCCTGCAGTGGATTGAAGCAGTGGGTGAGCACAGGGAAGGTAAATACAGCTTGCATAAAGAGAACTTGTTGTCTAGTATGGGAAAACATATGGTTCAGTTTAATCCTTATGGTCTTTCATTTAGTTATCTAGTCACTGAAAAGAAAACGATGATACATACCTTGTAGAAGCCTGTATGATACCCAGTCATATACCAAGCCATTAGCATACAAGCCAACACATCTTCATCCTCCTGCTCTTCTTCATCATAGTCCTCCCACTCTGTGCTGAAGAAAGGAGGTGGTGGTGGTGGTGGAGGAAGAGGTGCTGACTGACAAAAGTAAAGCATACTGGTTTAGGAGCTGACACCTAAGCAAGGCAGATTAATGAATGAACAGATACTGCAGTCACTTACTGGGGGCCAATTGTGCCAGGCAGGAAGGTGAGCTCTCACAGGTGGTGGAGGTGGTGGCCAAAAACAGCCCTAAAATAAAGAAATGAAATCTTTATTCAATATTTACTTTTGGCAGGTTTCAGAGAAGTCAAAGGCTCATCATGCCCTATCTCACCAGAACACAAGAGTTAAGTTTTTTCCTAACCAAACGTACTTTAGGATACTCACCTTGGGTGGAGGAGGAGGAGGTAATGAAGGTGGAGGTGGTGGAGGGGGAGGCGGAGGCGGTGGTGGAAAAGTGTACATCCAATCAGACTTCTTCCCCTGTTTCCTCCTATTACGTGATAGATCAGGTGAAGAGGTAGAACTTCTCCTTGTGTACATCCAGTCTGTATCCTCCTCATCCTGCCAATCAAAGCTGTTACATGTGAAAGCCAGCCAGCCCCTCGTGAATCATGCTCAGTCTCCCCCTGCACCATTTGTACTAGTAACATACTCAGTCTGCTCATCTAATAGTCTTAACCCTTTAATGGCCAGCCAGTGGAAATTTAGCAAAAATGCGTGTCTAGCAAAGCAGGTCACTTAGTCACAGGCACAAATACGAACCAGTTGAAGGAAGTATGTCCAAAACCACAGATCCACGTACAAAAGTAGCTTTGTTGAGAAGCTGCACTGCAATGCATCGTGTCCTTTCTCTAGCAGTTTCCTGTTGTGTTAAAGGAGAATTATGGGGGTAGTGAAATACACTCATCTCCATAATTAGAGCCGAAGTGTGACACTGATGCTGTCACAGGTTGACTCTATTGATCGAGAACTGAGCGATCACATAGCGCTAGTTGCTCAGTTCCCAATCTTCTCCCTGCAGAGAGTGATGACTATCAGTCACTGCTTCCTGCAGGGATTCCCTCCTCTCCTCTCTCTTCCTCCAGCGCTGACTGAAGGGATGGACAGGGGAGGGGGCAGGTAATAGCCCGCTATATACTGAGTTTTGGGTCACAGAAGGACAAAGTAAATGTCCTCCTGTTACACTTAAGAGAACTATGGCCAAAAAAGGTTGGGCCATAGTTCTCTTTTAAATACTGGAGTAAGAACACAATATCCGAAACGGAGTGCAGTGTTTTTAAGTAGTCTTCTCAAAAAAGCCTTGTGATACTGGACATACTTTCTTGAAGAATGCTTATGCTTAACAAGCTGTCTGTGCACCAGAATGGAGGTGCGTCTTAGCGGGGGAGATGTTAATCTTTTGTTCTTCCAGATAAGAACCCACTAAACATATCAAAATGCTTTGTAAGGGTTCGTTTGGTGGCAATGAAAGGGTTAAATGTCTATTACCCCCCAACAGGCGCAAGTAGATAACAGTCTATATCTTTAGTCTGTCTCAATAATATATATTATATGCTATGTCTGATGTCATTGTCTGTCTCTGTATGCTATGCACAAAGATTTAAGTCTTAGAAATGTCACATCTACCACCCCCATTATTAGCACAAGGGTAATAAATTGAAACCTCTACCTCTTACAACCCTAAATGGTCCAGGCACCAAACACCACTCAGTTCCACATATATCAGGCTGTACCCCTGAGCTATCCAGTCCTAGAGGTGCAGGACTCGCCTGCTTCTTGCCGCGAGTGTGTGCGGGGAGTCTGGATGGAGGCATCAGATCACCCAAGTTCTGCTCCTCCTCATTGTTATATCCCTCATACACCACCACACAGGTGCCCAAAACCTCATCCACAGAGCGAATAACGGCTGAGTATAGCTGTCCATCCTCAGACCACTGCACTGAACAACGGTCACCAACCTTCCACTATATGAGAGAAAAAAATGAGAGATTGTGGACTTGTAGGTGTTATAAGAAAATTATATATGTAATAGAAAAATGAAAAGAGAAATAGAAGAAAAATTGTAGATCTGCCATTAGATGAAAAAATGTGATTGTCGAAAAGCTACGACTTGACAGAGAGGAAATCTAACACTATCCGGAAATAACAGTTAAAACAAGGGGAGGGCTGGGGTCATCAATCCAGTATGTGCTATGGTGGACATAGGAAGAACAACTGGTTTGACATTGAAGGTTAAAGAGACAAAAAATTTCAGAAAACACATATGAGCAGAAAGGACACTAGCATGCCAAACTAAACCATTTGGCAGAGATTGTAAGCTAAGTGGTGTATATAGTGGGTTTTATCAATACAGAGTGGAAATGGATGGCATTAGTGGTACATTGTTATGACCACCGAGGTTCATGGGGCAAAAGATCATTAAAATGGATTAACCTGCTCATGGTGGAGGGAGTAGATGCAAAAAGGGTCAGTTATAAAATGCAAAATGAGGCTAGTTCTTTTATGCTGGTCCCACAAGACTGGTACGCTTCTAATACGTTTGTTTGAATTCACCAAAGCATTTATTTTTATCACGTTGGCTTACAGGTATGTTAAAGCTGAACTCCAGGCAGATATAAGAGAAACAAATTAAGGCAGCTCTGTATGCCTTAAAAAAATAATTGAATGATTATTTTTTTTAATTCAAGCAGTGTAAATACCTGAACTTGACCTGGTATTGACCTCCTGCAACTGCACTGGTCTACACATTTTGAGAAATTATCGACCTGCGAGATAAAATGTGTTAATTCTTACATATTCTGATTAGATGAATTAGAAAACAGGTGATAAAGGTGCTGATTGGCTAAAGTTTTCAAGATATTTCACAATAAAGATTTATACACAGACGAACATATTTTCCTACAAGGGAGGGAGGTGTCTGATGATCATGATGCCTCGTAACTTCTTGACAAAGTACGGTTGAACAATGAAAATGGTTCCACATGGTATAAATGTATCTTCACTTTGAGAATAAAGATTATTACATAACAGCAGTTTATTGTTCTATTATTGCAAGGTACATTTGTCTTGGTCAGATCTACGCATCATACAGTTACATTTGTTGGCTTGTGAAAGTGTCATTGCCTAACATTTCGAGAACTTCTCCGAGATCACAAGTTTGACCGCCTGTTGCGCGGCAAGGAATAGAAGGCCTTTAAGTCCATGGCAACGGAGTTCCTCGGAACAGCAAGGCAGATGACTATGAAAAACACGTGGAAAATCTGCTTAGGTCCTCTAAGGCACTTAGTGCAAACATGTCACTGAAAATTCACTTCTTGCACTCGCATTTAGGCTATTTCCCTTTGAACTGTGGGGCAGTGAGTGATGAGCATGGGGAGAGATTCCACCAGGGTATCGCAGGCATGTAGAAAATATACCAAGTGAAATAGAGTCCGTCTATGCTTGCCGATTACTGCTGGAATCTCTCCAGGGATGATCCTACTGCAGTTCACAAGAGAAAAGCCACAAAGCGCAGTTTAGATACCGAATAAAGATGGAACCTTGTCGTTTAATCTGATGTTAGAGCTTGCCAGTTTTTCATGCAAAACGCATGAAAATGTTACATGAAAAAACAATAAATGATTGGAAAGTTATGTTATTGGTTTCAATAAAAAGATGCATTTATAATGATTGATGTGGCACCGTTCTCATTGCTATATCACATTTTGCAGAAAAGTTATGGAGCATAATTGCACATCCTCGTAATTTTGAATTATTTTGATGCAATTTTTACCTGAAGCTGTATCTTGGAAACTGGAGCCAATTAATACTCAGGACTTCATTTTCCTTTATTAGTGACCCAATTCTGGTAAAATTTAGCTACTTTTATTTCTGAGGCTTTCTTCTTGTAGACCAGTGCTGCCTATATAATAGAGCTTATACTGGGAAAGGTAGAAGCAGTACAAGGAGCCAATCAGTTGTGCTGCAGTGCTTATGTGCTATTAAGAAACATGCAAATAGCAGGGGAGAGCACAGTGACAGAGAGATGGGCTCATCAGTCTGCTGCTTCTCCTTTCACTGACCAATCACAGGCTGGAAGAGGGGACAAGACCTATAAGTGCATTAGAGAAAAATCTAGCCTGCTGCCCTCCAAAGAGAGCTACTGTATGCTGTGTGTCAGAGCTGTGTTCTGGATGGGCAGATTTACAAACCCTTTGGCAGGTAAAACAGCTCTCATAAGTGAATTTAATGTGTGTATTTTGCTGTTTGTCTGGAGTTTAGCTTTAAAAGCTTTAAAACCTTGGGCCACCTATCTTCAGATTTACAAGACACCTTCTTTACTAGTCAACGCCTTTGGAATAAACATATTCTAGTTTTATGCGAAAAAGGGAAATACTTATCCAATTTTTGTTAATGCAACTAAGCAATTATATTTACAGATATTATCTAATTTAAGTTGTCAATTGTTTTCATATCAAGAAGGTTTCAAATATAAAAATAGTTGCCAACTGCATAACTATGGGTTGACACAAACATCATTCCTTTGTACTTTATAAATGACCCCTAAGCCAACAAGGTATCACAACTGCAGTGAATCATTTATTAGAGGGCATATGAAAAACCATTAATATAAGTTTGAAGCTCCAATCACTAAACTAGCAGGAAAAATCTGTATGTAGAAAGGGTTTACTAAGGTTGCAATACACACACTGGGCAGTGAGGTTCATTAGGAGAAGCAGTTTGGATTGGTACTACAGAAAAGACTCAGTCACCTGTTTGACAGGTGGGGTGCTATCCCCACTGCTCCCCACAGACACTATTTCATCCAGCTGATGCCTCTCGGTATTTCCATAGCCATCATACTGGACCACACAAGTGCTGCTTTCTCTGTTAATGGATTTTACTGTAGCAGGGTAGACACATCCATCCTCTGACCAAACTGCACTACAAGGGTCTCCCACTTTCCACTAAGGGACAAAAACACGATATTGAACATGGGTGGTAAAATACAGTTATAAAACATTCCATGCAAAACTGACTTCATTCTCAGAAGCAAATGTTAAAAGAAGAAACAAACAAAATACAATTTAATTTGTAACTGGGAACATTTTGTACATGTTGGTCAATTTTTTTAAATCTTATTTGGCCACTCACTTTGGTTGTGAGAGAGCGAGGGGTTGACTGAGAAGAAGGATGTGTCAGAGGAGGAGGAGGCTGTGCCTTCTTCTTTTTACTCCATTTATCCCCCTCATCCTTTGGATGATCCCTGTGCCCATCTCTCTCCCACTCTGATTCTCTTGTCACGTCTCGCTGACAATCTTTTTGGAGATCACCTGATGCAGTGGCTCCTTCTGGCCTCCGGCTTTTATCAGTGCATCTAAGCATATCCTGGGGATAGGGATGGAAGAGGTTAATGTTATATTTTACTACAGGAGATCACCTACTTTTCTAGTTATCACTACTGTTATATTGTTTTGTCTTTGAAACATACCACTTGAATAATGTTTAAACTGTATTTGGCATTTAAGGGTTATCAAGCCCTCTAATGAATGCAAAACTCATCATCAACATAGGTTACCTTCAGTAAAACTACATGTCTATACGATCAGCAGATTCAGAGCTATAGAAAGGTGAGCTTACATTTTCTTACATTTCCTGTCAATGTTGTGCGTGGCTCCGCTACTCCCACTACCAGAACTTCCTTGTCCTTATCCTGAAAGGATAAGTGGACTTTAAAACAAAGTATGCTTATCCTTTTGGCCCCATTAATACTGCCACCCTCCCCCTGCACACATGAATACTTGCAGAATTCCAAGGGGCCCGGCCTCTATTGACTGTTTATATCTTGTGGCAGACATCTTCTTCTGCCTGCCTCTGCACAGTAAATCCCCATTGACTTCTATGGGCCTCATCTACCTACATCTCCTGGCTGTGAGATGAGCTCCATAGAAGTCAATGGGGATGTGCTGCGCAGGTGTGGACAGTTGAAGAAGACGTCCTCCACAGGGTGTCAACAAACAGGCCTGGCTGAACTTGGTAAATGTGCATCTGTGCAGGGGAAGGTGGGATCGATTAGGTAATACTGAAGGGGCCAAAGGGATAAGTGCCCTTTGTTTTAAAGCTCATTTATCCTTTAATGTGATCGGTGGCCTCACTGACTAATAGAAAGTGGTGAGTCGGAACCAAACTTTAACAGGAAAAAGTCACGTTTTGCCTAAAACTTTACCTGCCGATATTCTGGGATTTTCTGATTGCTTTGACAAGCAAATTTCTCTGAACGCAACCTATGTTTATGCATTTTCTGTCACACGTCTGGGTTAAATTGCCTAGATTTGTGACCCTGCCACCGCATAATCACTTTTACAAAAGAGGTCACCTGTAAATTAAGTCTTTATATAATTACGCTTCTGGAGGCCCATGTATTTAAAAGCGGCCATGTCTCTTCTCCCCAGCTGCTGCAAGTATTCAATACTCAGATTAGTTACTTGCTCCCCCTGTTGGGTGCTGTGGTTTCTCCCACCAGCTTGTATGTCCTGTAGTGACTTATGAGGCGGCAGAAGGAACCACAGCGGGCCAGTGGGGTAGCAAATATTTCTCCCACTCAGAACTGTAGAATACTTGCAGCGGCTGGGCTGTGGAGTAGCAGTGGCTTTTCAATACAGGGGCAGCTAGAAAGGTAATTATATAAACGCTTCTTTTACAGGTGTCCTGTTTTGTAAAAGTGACCCTGTGGTGACAGCCATTTTAAGAACTGGTTACGGTAATTTGCAACCAAATTTACGTAGCATGAGATAGCAATAGTTTGTTTTAATAAGGTGTTACTGTTAAACAGAGGCATTCTGTAATTAACCAGTCAAACCAAGAAAGTTTTCTACCTCCAACCTACTTATACTGACCTTCCCCAAACTCCTCTGCTGCTCCTTTGCTATGTAAGCTCCATGTCAGTTGGTTTTAGAGCTTACACAGAGTAGATGATGTTGTCCTCCTGTTCAGGTAAGAGCCTTCGGGCCTGGAAAATGGCTGCTTAGGGCCAAGCACTGCATCCTGGGAGGAAGTAACATGCCCCCCATACCTGGAAGAGTGTGGTATTTGCAATGGCCACCACAAAGCAATGGAACAGAGCATGGTAAAGGTAAATATAAGAGGGATCAAGGGAGAGGGGGCTAGTAAGATACTCTTTCACTTTGTCCTGCATAGGGATATATTTTTTTTAAGTTGCTATAACACTGCAGCCTTGCAACATTGCAGGTGTGAGTGCTGTTATTCACTTATAATCTCTCTGTGTCCGAGTACAGAAATGTCAGTCCAGAGTCAGGATGTAAGGTCCTCATAAGGGCAGATCTATCTCATGCCCGAATTCAATAACAGGGCTGTCACGACTGTCAACGTAGAGTAAAACTCTTAATTAATAAATCCTTTTGTTCTATTTCATGTAATCTTGACAGCACATATGTTATATGATTTAGAATGTGTATTTTCAGGACTGAGCTCAAGCAAGATTGCCTGACAGCCTGACACAGAGCTGACACCTCTGCTGTGACAGAGAGAATGCAAGTAAAAAATCAAAAGACAAGTAATTCCTGATTGGCAGGGCTTCACTATTATAACACTTCATCATTCACGATTTGCCTTATTATACACACCCAGAGGCGCAGTAACTGTCACTTAGTCTACTTCATAAAAATAGAGAGGTTTGAACAGCTTTGCCAGTTATCTATTTCAACCAATGGGTAGCAGATACTATTTAAAAAAGGTTTGCCCTAAAAAAGGGACAGAGAAATACAACTAGGTAGTAGGTATAGGTACCTGGAAAGACTGGACAGCCTTTTCATAGGATTTAATAAGAGCAGCATCGTCCCACTCATCAATATCTTCACTCTGCAAGACCCGAGAGAAGATATTTCAAGACACATGCATTTCCCCATCTCTCACCAACATTCATACATCTCACCTTCTATGCAAACACCACTATACGCATTGCACAAGCTCATTCTACACATTCTTCAACTCATCGCCACCTGTCTATTTGTACCTGCTAGAGCGTTTTGGAAAAGAAGGGGCCTGTCTGCAGTGTTTATCAGTCCCTTAGTATACGCTTTGGATACTATACCACCTTGTATAGGTAGCTTTTCCTGTAATGTCACTCATTTATGGCTTTGCTTGTGTACTGTACAAGAACATGTACTGCTTGAGTGCTTGTTATAGCACCCAGGAATTTTCCAACACCTTGTAATATCTTTGTGTGGTTACCAATAATTGTCTAATCTACAAATACCCATGACCCTTTCATCTAAGTATGTGACTAGTCTTACTATCAGGAAGAAAACTGTAGCAGGTAACAGCACAAAGCAAGGACGGGCAAATATCTGAGCACCTCCTGCCCATATCAGTCATTATTTACCAAAAGATTAGTTGCAGTGACAGCCAATGGGAGCTGAATGATCATCATGACAAATAGAATGTTATACCTTAAGCTTCAAATACTTTCAAACGTGCGTGTGCCATAGATAGCTATGGTAATATATAGCCATTTTCAAGCTGCTATCAATGGTAATCAATCACATTACACACTATGATTTTATGGTACTGTATAAAATAATAGCCATAGAGAAAAACAAATTAGTAGCACACATTTTATCTGTTCAGCCCAATAACTCTTGCAGGGTGCACCCCTGCCTTGCCATGTGCTCTAACGTGGAATAGCTGACAATTTCTGAAGACTGATCGGCACTCCCAGGCATGCTATATGCACAATAAACATTTGCTTAAAAGTTTGTGTTCGTCATTTACCATCTAGGAGCATAACCAGAATGTAATAATGAGGTGTGAATCATTAAAAGAGGTGACACAGCTTCTGTCAATAGACAAATAAGACACAACTGTCTGGTCAGGCAGCTAAGGTGGCATTTAGTTCCTGCCAGGTAAAGTAAAACAGAAGTAAAACACCCTTTCTTTCCAGGATATCCAGGATTGATTAGGATGGGGATAGACAAATTAATATGGAATTCAGGAGCTGCTCTGTCCAATCCAGGAGCCAGCAGAATTTTTTCAGAAGCCAACTCCATTGACAACTAGAGAAAACCCACCAAAAGGTTAGGTGCCAGCTGTCATTTTCAAGGAACATTGGCTTCCTGGCTCCTAGAAATTGTCTAGACCTGGATTAGAGACATGTACGCTCCTCTTTAGCCAAGAAAAAATAAACACCATTGGGCCCCATTCACTCCTAGGTGCTTTGTGACTCCTTTTTGTAAGCGCAAGGACACTAAACAAGAAGAATCCGATTGTTTTCAATGGCCCCTGTTCATACATGAGCATTATGACGCTTGCTGCCAGTTGTGTGAAGCTCGAAAAAGTACATGAGCCTCTCCTGGGGCAGAATCGTGCGTTTTGGCCTCATAGACTTTAATGGGTCTGAAAAAACGCTAGACAAATGCATGCTTACGTTTTTAAGTCTATGGGGTCAAAAACACACGATTCTGCACCTGTACTACAAGATGAGCATAAAAATACATTTGCGATGGCCGTACAAATGCACAAAAACAACACCTCTAAATCACCTGGCTACGTTCACGCTTATGTGTGACTGGAGTCTAAGATAGATAACTTCATGCTTAAATTGTCATAAATGTACATCAATGTTCACTTCCTTGCACAGGATGGTTCTAGTTCCTGGCAGTCAGATGTTGGGGGTTGTCTGACCACTGACATTCCTAGTCAAAAGAGACATGTAGCTAAAAGGACAACTTTCATTTATAAACTTCATTTTTTAGTAGTGCAATCAAAGTCCACCTAAGCCGAGTTCACGTTGTTGCGCTGCTGTTACTTGTGTTATACCTGAGCCATTTGTTGTGAATGTTCCCCCCTAGTAACCCTTACTGATGGTCAGGTGTTGTGGTGTGGACTGCCAAGAATGCTACATTTTTTGTTGTGTTGGGCAGCCCATTCATGTGAATGGGCTGCCATAACACAATGCAGATTAACATGCAATATATTACGTTGTGCATTTTGGTGTGTTAGGCAGCCCACTCATATGAATGGCCTGTCTTAACACAATTCCAATTTTGTGAGACATTATGTCTCACCCATAACTGCAAAGATGTAAATGGGTCCTTAGCGACACAATGCAGATTAACATGCAATATATTACGTTGTGCATTTTGGTGTGTTAGGCAGCCCACTCATATGAATGGCCTGTCTTAACACAATTCCAATTTTGTGAGACATTATGTCTCACCCATAACTGCAAAGATGTAAATGGGTCCTTAGCGAAGACTGTCACTGACGACGTTTTACTACCTTTCAGCATAAATATACTTCTTATTCTTGCCATTTGTCCTTCTGGTTGAGACTCCATTCACAACTGTGCGTGTATCTGTCCTTCTGGTTGTGACTTAATTTACATTTGTGTGTCCATTTGTCCTTCTGGTTGAGACTCCATGCACAACTTTGTGTGCATTTGTCCTCCCGGTTCAAACTCCATTCACAAAGGTTTAACTTGGATGGACCTGTGTCTTTATTCAACCTCAAATAATATGTAACAAATACTATGTAATTGTGTGTGCATTTGTCCATCGGTTGATACTCTATACACAACTGTGTTTGCTCGTTTGCCCTTCCGTTTGAGAGTCCATTCACAACTGTGTGACCATTTGTCCTTCCGGTTGAGACTATATGCACAACTTTGTGCGCATTTATGCCTGCACACCACAATTATTGGTATATGTGCAGTAACATTCACCTGCCCTTTAATGCATCAGAAGGCACAGATATAAATGCACTGTGCATTGTGTCATGTTGTTCTGGCAAAAAAAGGTGCAGGTACATTTTTCTGTGCTTTAAAGCTTGTTTTTAACAGCCCATTTAAAGTGAATGAGCTGCCTTAATTCAATGCAGAATAAAGAAGAACATGTTAACATAGTTGTGAATGGATTCTTAGAGCCAGAAGAGAACCCCCGAGCAAAGATGACAGTGGATGAACTTTAAAGGGAATGAAGTGGGTATGAGGGGATAGAGGGATGCACTGAAATGGCAAGTAATTTATTTAAATAGTTCACTATCACTAGTGGAGACATCTACTTTATATTTAAAATTTATTTTGTTATCTGAAGGTGATCTCCCCCTTTGGGTTTTGAGAGAGCACTTTCACATCCATTCACAACTAGACCGAGCGCAACTTAGTTGCCACATAATTTATTTAAAGCAACCCTGTTGGCAGTTCATGAAGGGAAATACATCAGGGCACAGTAGTGATGCGGAGGTTGGTGGGAGAAACAAGTGAGCGGCGTGGGAAGCATAAAAGATCAGAAGTAGTTTCTCCACAGACTGCAGCCAGAAATTCTTCCTAATCAGACCACATTCAGCGGCACTTGTGGCAGGAGAGGTAAGTATTTATATTAATTTTTACAGGAAACTGATATAATACTTATTATAAAATGTAAAAATAAAGTAAGCCAGTGCTTTTCCCTTTTTGGTTTCATGGATCTGTTAGTACTTATTCCCATCACTTATTCAACTGTTGAAACCTGGCCAGGGATAAGTGTTTGTGTGTGTGTGCGCACAAACACACACATTATATATATACTGTATATATATATGTCTTGGGCTGAAATTAAGTAGCCAGGTGCCTTCCTTAAACCATTTTGCATCTGGAGCACAATTTTTTTGTTACAAAACAGCTTATATATTTTCTGAAAGCAGAGGCCCTGTAGAATAAAAAAAATACTAGGCACACTGAATTTGCGCAAATGTTAACCTAATTTATATTTTTAGGAAACAATACACTAAAATTAGTTTTAGTGCACACAAACAGAACATATTACCCAATTTTTTGGCAAATTAGAAAAGATGGGGTCATATCGGGCAAATAGATACCAAACATGTCAAACCTTAAAATTGTGCGCACCTGTGAAATGACAAAAAAAAACTACAGTACCCAAAATTGCCCGCAGGGGACTAACAAGCCCCTATGTGGTAGCACAGAGTAAGTTACATAGTTACATAGTATTTGAGGTTGAATAAAGACATTAGTCCATCAAGTCCAACCTATTAGGATCTCATTCTAGGAGTACCTGTACCCCTGTCTATTACGGTCCCTTAAGAAATCGTCCAAAAGTTTCTTGAACAATTCCACATTATTTGCTGAAATCACCGCCTGTGGCAGTGAGTTCCAGACCCTAACTGATCTTACTGTGAAGAACCCCCTTCGCCCCTTGTGCTGGAATTTTTTTTCCACCAATTTTAGGTGGTGGCCTCTAGTTTTTGTAATGGAGTTAATTTTAAACAGTTTATCGCTAATGTTGCTACCACCATTGAACATTTTGTACATGGAGATCATATCCCCCCTTAATCTCCTCACCTCCAATGTGAACATGTTTAAATTTAGTAGCCTTGTCTCGTAGCTCTGGTCCTCCATACCCCTAATTAGTTTGGTTGCCCTCCGCTGGACTTTTTCCAACTCAAGGACATCTTTTCTTAGTACTGGTGACCAGAACTGGACCGCGTACTCCAGATGAGGTCGAACCAATGATCTATAAAGTGTCAAAATTATAGACTTGTCCCTGCAATACATCCCTTTTTAATACAGGACAAAACCCTGCTAGCTTTGTTTACAGCAGCCTGGCACTGCAAGCTACCTTTCAATTTGTGGTCTACAATGACCCCCAAATTCTTCTCCATTTCTGACTTCCTTAGCGGCATACCCATAATTGTATAACCCATTTGTTTATTTTTAATTCCAAAGTGCATTACTTTGCATTTATCGACATAAAGTGGCTGATCCTCTTAATGGAGACATTAGGGGTCTATTAGACTCCTAATGTCATCTATGGACCCCACTGTAGCTGATGAAGCACAGATCATGCTTCACCAACTTCTACTAA